TACATTTATATTTATACAAATCAATGCTGGCTTGTAAATTAATGATATAATTACGCTAAATCGTCATTACATTTTAACGTGAATTAACATAATTTGTATGAAAGAGTACCTGAACCTCAAGTATTGAATTACATCTTCTGCGCTTGTAAAATTTAACTGTGCTAGGCCCATTTAAACACGCTTACCTATTCGGAATGTAATAGGTATTTCGTTTATGAGACTTTAAATAATGTTAACGCTTGTTTGGAAGCAGATTAGATTAAATAAAATTAATGAAACTCGTATACAATGCTTTTTACTAACTTAATCCAAGATGTTTTATTTCTGTAAATAGCTAATATGTAAATATATCAAAATCTAACATGTCCTTGTAATATTTTTAGACGATAAAACTTTTGATTTATAATATGTAACATAAGCGGGACTTTCTATGGTGATTATCAATAATTTCATTCATGAACGAGTATCAGAAGGATGGCATAAAATTTTACCACCTGTAAACAGAAATTATTGTTCTCCGGTATCGGCTTTGCCTCCCGTTTTAGAAATATGCACGATAATAGGATTACTTTCATAACAGTGGCGCTTCGCGTTTGTTTCTCAACTTTATTAGACCATCTGTTTGACAGGTTAGTATCGTAAAATCCTACCACATTTATTTTTTTAATGAATTGAATAGTTTTGAGTGTTGTTTTATATGGATATGAATATTTGTCTTTCGCCTTGATGATGGAAGCAGTAAGTACCTCTGAAACGTCTGTAAATTTCTATCAGATTACATGGCGCAACGTCTCTCAAGACAGTCGTATTCAGTAATGATATTGGTTATTTAATTGGTAATGAAAGTTTGAAGAGGAGATTTTGAAGATTGTTGTACGTGGCCAATTATAATTTACAGGTGTGCAGTGATCGTGTTTCCAGGTGTTTCGACTACCAGAAACAAGTTCCTGTGCTATTCCATGGCTCGTTATTCAACACACTGGGAACCATCCTACTGTATCTGGTGAGATCCTTCCCCACTGAATGTAACAAACATTTTCTACTCCTATGTTCCATGTTGCAAATTCTTGTACCTGAAGTGACGATAGGTAATGGTACCTTATTTAAGAGTTGTATATTTGAGACGCTAATTATAGCCGTCTTAATAACATTATTTTTTGTTGGGCAAGGCCGTGGTCTAGGCAACCCGGAGTTTTCCTCCGGGGGCTTCCCCGGTTTCTCCGTGGCATCCCAACAATTACTCCTTTCACACGCAGAAGAAGGCAATGGCAAACCACTTCTGGATCATCTGCCAAGAACGTATATGAACAGGTCCCAGTCCGAGAAAAGGATGGAAGGATCCTGTTCATATGGACCTGTCGGCAGACAGAACACTAAATAATAATAATAATAATAATAATGGAAATACTGAACTGCAGAGTCTGAATTGGGTAGAGTACCCGTCGACATTCGAACCAAGGCGTTCCTTAACACGAGCTTGTCGAATTTCCTTGGGATTTGTGTTGAGTGGGACGTCCCTGTTTGTTTTCAGCGCGTTGGTATTCTTGTAAGACGCTGAGCGATCCTCACACTACGTCAGCTCCATAAAGTAAAGTAAAATGACTTTCTCCTAGTATTGAAAGACGTCTTCATTTATTCTTTTCCCCTAAAGTCTTGAAGGTCCAAGTAATTGTAGACTAATATATTGTCCTGTTTGGCACAATGTCTTTCTACTTCTTGAGCAAGGGTTTGAAGCTAGCTTTCCAATTATCCTGAGCTGAAACTCATTCCAACTCAGACTACCTCACTCAGACCAGAAATCCCGACTCCGTGCCGTCTCTGCCGAGCTGCTACCACTTTCAACGAGATCGCCCCCTCCCCTCCCCACCTCCAAAACCCACCTGATCGATGACCTCTGCTCGTTCGTAATGGAATGAAGGGCATTCTTTACCTTCACCAGCGCTGTGATTTTTCTTCCATACTTTATTTGCAACTCTTTGTTATAGTCCCCAGGTGCTGAGTTTAGATTCCAGATTAAGACAATTTCAAATGGAAAGAGAGACAGAGACAGAGACAGGAAAAGAGATCGACTGATGCATTTTGCGGGCAGTCAAATTGAACAGCAACTTCCATACAAAATGATGGCGAAGAAATTAAAGTTTTGAAAACGGTAATGAATTGGATCTCTCAACGGCAAAGTTTTGTTACGAAGGCAAAGAAAGTAGACAATCATTTTAATTTGCGAATGCTGAAATACACAAACTTCGATTTTATTTTATCAAATGGTCACGAAACGTCACCTACAAGGGATACGGATTAAATCGTAACCGAGTTTGAAGTTGCGTGGCGATAAATGGAACTAGCCATCCCGCCATTGTAATAAATAGCCGGACATTGACATCAGCGCTCTCATGAAGATGTCCACTGGGAGAAACAGAAACTTTTAGGTGTGCATTAGGTTGGGAAGCCTGAGGGGAAGAGACCTCTGGAGAGACCTAGACGTAGATGGGAGGAGAATCTCCGGCGGGATCTATGGGAGATAGGAGTCGAAGGAGACTGGATTTTGTTGGTCCAGGACAGGGTCCGGAGGAGGGCTTTGGTTAATTCGGTGATGAACATTCGGGTTTCATAAGCCATCTAGTTGGTTGGGTCCACTATTTGGGAAGCCTGAGGGGAAGAGACCTCTGGAGAGACCTAGACGTAGATGGGAGGAGAATCTCCGGCGGGATCTATGGGAGATAGGAGTCGAAGGAGACTGGATTTTGTTGGTCCAGGACAGGGTCCGGAGGAGGGCTTTGGTTAATTCGGTGATGAACATTCGGGTTTCATAAGCCATCTAGTTGGTTGGGTCCACTATTTGGGAAGCCTGAGGGGAAGAGACCTCTGGAGAGACCTAGACGTAGATGGGAGGAGAATCTCCGGCGGGATCTATGGGAGATAGGAGTTGATGGAGACTGGATTTTGTTGGCCCAGGACAGGATCCGGTGGAGGGCTTTGGCTAATTCGGTGATGAACCTTCGGGTTCGGTAAGCCATCTAGTTAGTTATTAGGTGGCGACTGCAGCTCAGGCGAATTGCACAGGTTGTGAATAAGAAGCCGACGGCCGTATCTAGTCACGTTACAGATCTCGGATAGTTAGATAAATTTAAATACGTAGGATTTGAGGTTTTCACGTTTGTGAGTCTGGCAGGTGTCCACAACTACCAGACTGCACGGCGCAACAACCCAGCGGACAGCAATCTTCAAATTTAAATATGACGATAAGGCGTGCTGAGACGCGAAGTTCGTGTCGGAACTTTTAATCCAGCTTCTGTGCTTCTCTGTTATCCATTTATAAGCCATTTTAATCGACACGCTGCCTTAGGCATCGTTTGCTGGAAGGCATTGTTAGATTATCAAATACACCATCGAGTTCCAAAACAGCTAATGAAGAAACGAAATTAGCGAATGCAAACATGTTAATCGAAATATGTATGATTTATCAAACACACTGATTTTCAGGGCATGGTCAGTATAATGAAGCAGCGAGAGACGAAACGAGGACTAGTTTGTATGTTTACCATGTCACATGCCTCAATATCTGTGAATTATTTCAAGCGGGGTCCCCTCATGTATTGTTATTTGTCGTTAATGTTTATCAGCTGAAACGCTGGTATACGGTGTCCACCGACGGGCCTGTGCAAAACAACGCTCGATGGGGTTGTGAGCGAAAAATATGACGATTTGCAAGTTCTGCTAACTCCTCACAGAGCTGGAATATTTAAAATGGGAGAAATATCTCGCCTAAATTTCTTTTTCACATCAGATTCTGTACTCTATGTTATGATAATATATTATCAATTAGCCACGGTGGTCTAGCGGTCAGAACGCTGGCCTTGTAATCCTGGGGTCTCGGGTTCGATTGCCGGCGGTGCCCGAATTTATAACTTGTGTTGGGCAAGGCCGTGGTCTAGGC